TGAATAGCTGTCTATTCATCTCTGCCCCCTGCCTTTTATCCCCAGAGCTAGCGTGGGGTTCTTCTGTCCCAAGGATCAGCCCATAGAGCTCCACTGCTCTCCTCTCCTCTGCCTTCTGTGCATCTGCGCATCAGCTGTTCCTCCTCTTCCTTATCAGCTACCTCCAGACCTGGGGGGTGTTGATTCTCTATCTGAGGGGCGATGGATGGCCCAGGCTCCGCTTCTGTCTCTCTTTCTGCCAGCTCCATTCCCTCTTCCCTCTCGGAGCTCTCGGGTTGCCTTGATGCTGACCCTGTCCTCCCACCCCTCCTGCTCCTCCTCCTCCTCCGATGCGGCTGCTGCTCCTCCTCCGATGCGGCTGCTGTGGCAGCTGACAGGCCACAACACATAGTTGTTAAGTGAATCTGGCTTCACCCCTATTGACTTTGCTTGTCAGAAGGTCACAAAAGAGCATCATGTAACCCTGGGACATTGCATCCGTCATAAGTATGATTCAGTTGCCAAGCATACAAATTTGGATCATGTGACCATGGGGGGATTCTGCCGCAGTTGGAAATGCGAGAACCGGTCCTGTCCCCTTTTCCCACTGCTGTTGTAACTTCGCTAGGTCAGTAAATGAATTTATTTATTTATTTTATTTATTTTTTATTTATTTTATTTATTTGTCAAGCAAGTATTAGATGACAGGTATAAGTATAAACATGGTTATGAATACATGAAATGGATACAAATAAAAAAGAAACAATAGGAGGACAGGGACGGTAGGCACGTTGGTGCGCTTATGCACGCCCCCTACAGACCTCTTAGGAAAGGGGTGAGGTCAATAGTAGACAGTCTAAGGTTAAAGTTTTGGGGGTTTGGGGAAGAAACCACAGAGTCAGGTAGAGTATATGTAAGTCAAGGATTACTTGTATGCTTTAGTTTGAATCGTGGTTAATTTTCTGGAGCTTATCTTGTACTTGTTCTCCGTGTGTGTTCATGATTTGGTAGATTGTCTGAGTCAAGAAAACGGCATTGTAATGTTTGAGTGGCTAATTTTAAAGTCACTCAGGCGCGATGACACTTCCAGTGACACCTCTGCACCCAGAGCCCATTAAAAAGAGCAAAAAATAACAGCTGGGCTCCATAGACCTTCAGATACTGTCAGGTTGCTCTGAAATTAGCATAATTTGCAAATGAATAAGCCCGCTCAGAAACTGACTTGTAAAAAATAGCGTTTTTGTGGCCACTTCCATCTGTCACCGTGGGACCCTCTCTGTGAACTGTAAGCCACCCTTTCAGATATGTTCTCCTAGAAAGATGAAGGAAACCCCCAAAATCACCTGAAGAGTTGCAGAAATGAGCTGAAAGTCAAGAGCGTGAAATTTGAAGGAGAACAGCACAAAGTTTTTCCGCTTAATACCCAGCAACCAAATGCAGAGGCATAAAATGGGAAATTCTTGCCTTGGATTCATATACAAGGGTGGGATGCTACCGGTTCGGCCCGGTTCTATAAAGATCCAAAGAGCAGCTGATACCGAACCGGTTTGCTGTGACTATCTTGTTTGGCCCACCCGCGCCTGCCCGGGCTGTAGGCTCTCCTTGAGTGCCTGCTGTTTCCTCCTCAGCTGCTTTGCAGGACACAGATGAGTGCCACTCGTCAGCAGGGGAAGGGGAATGCTTGCAGGAGCTGGTGATTTGTAAACGGTGCGCATGCACGCACAGTGCACGTTTGGTGCACATGCACGCGAAGCGTACATGTATACAGTTCACGCATACTCACCAAACCGGTTGTTATGCCAGTAGGATCCCGGCCCTGCTCATATATGTGTGAAGGATCTTGGAATAGTTGTGGACTGCACACCATATTTATTTATTTATTTATTTATTCATCTTTCTTTCTCTCTTTTCTTTCTTTTTCTTATATCTATCATCTTTCTGTCTATATGTATTATCTATCTATATGTATCATCTATCTATCTAAATATCTATTTATCTATCTATCATCTATCGATCTATCGATCTGTCATCTTTCTATCTATATGTATCATCTATCTATATGTATCATCTATCTATCATCTATCATCTATCTATCTATCTATCTATCTATCTATCTATCTATCATCTATCTATCTATCTATCTATCTATCTATCTATCTATCTATCTATCTATCTATCATCTATCATCTATCTATCTAAATATCTATCTATCATCTATCTATCTATCTATCTATCTATCTATCTATCTATCTATCTATCATCTATCTATCTATCTATCATCTATCTATCTATCTATCTATCATCTATCTATCTAAATATCTATCTATTATCTATCTATCTATCTATCTATCTATCTATCTATCTATCTATCCACCCATTATCTGTCTGTCTGTCTATCTATCTATCTATCTATCTATCTATCT